TTTTTCCTTTTCCTACACCCCTCCAAGAAAATAAGTGGTAGTTCTATTACATTGGTCATCCACTTTGAAAGAAAAGCAGATCAAGTGTGTGTCTCCATGTGTCCCCTTTGTATAATACAATACAAATGCAATTCTGGAGACTTCCTTCTTCATTTAGCCTATGACATCTCTCACTATAGTATCCAGTAATCCTATTATATCAAAAAGAAATGCGGTGATGCTCTTAGTGACTTAAGAATTTGTTCAGTCAGATCTTCTTAAAATTCGGTGTGTTGTTTTTACACAATTTCAGGTACCATTATAGGGACTCAGAAAGCAAATTTGAAATAATTCAGGAAATTATTATTGTTCTTCAGGATATAATAACCTGGATAAGTTAAAGATGTAAACAAAATTTCATTTGAAAGCAAGATTTTGTCACCAAATGGTAACATTTAACCTTTCTGTCAAATGATTTTCCATTGCCATCTCAGCTTAGTTCACACGACTAATAAAATCCAATGAGGCAACTTCCTTTGGCCTGCGTGGTAAAATTCGAACGGCTACCTACCCAGTAGGGATTAAATCATTAAAGAAATGAAGGCTTCAAATTTATTACCTATAAGAACAGTTGAAAGGAGTGAGATTTAAAAGCAACTCAAGTTTTTTGTTTTTAAATTTTATTTTTAGGCTTTGGGGTGTTCACAGAGGAGAAAGGCAAAGAAGAAAGAAGAAACGGAGCCCATCTTTCCAACCACAGGGGCTCCAAAAGCAGAGTCTCAGAAGTTGGGAGCCAATTTTGGTTTACATTAAAAGAATAACAAGCACTTGAAATCTGTAAGGATGCAATGTCAACACATTAGTTGGAACCATGAGGCATGAGATTTTGGTGATCTCATGGGCACAGCCAAAATTAACTCCCAGTATTTATATAACTGCCAGAGACAAGAGGGCAAAGGTTGCCTATAATTTTTTGTGAGTCAACAAAATAGTGTGTTTTTTTGGTCAAAGAGAAAAGAAGTAAGGTATTTTCCGTCTTACTTTACGATATGCAATACTTGTTCTTATATACACAGAATATTCTACTCATAATATGATCTGAATGTTTAGATGAAGGCTTTAAAAAAAAAAAGAGCTATTTCCTGTTGCTCACTAACTGAAAGGATGAGCTTAAGAGGTATGTGTGCTCTGCCTCAAAGCAAAAGCATTGTTAGTGGTTATCAAGGTAACATTTAAAAATAACTACCCCAGTACAAAAGAACTTCAGAGGAAATATGACCGAAGCTATCAGTCTCCCTTCACGCCTGGCCTTGAGCTTCGGAAGACTCTAGCTGCATTCTCCATTACATTGTTATTCTTATCAAACAATGCAAACAATTTTAATGAGCTTATCTACTAGAACATATTGCCAGATATGTTAATGTAAAAATGATGCCAACCGTACAGGCTAACTCATTAATCAAAAGGCTCACATTACAATGACCAAGATCAGTCCCATCCTCAAATGATACCTCAGCAAAACACCAGGAATACCTTCCTACTGTAAATAAGAAAGGGCTCCCCCGCCCATGCGGTGGCCATAAACTCCTAAGAAAATGCATAACAGCGCCCAGTTTTTTTTTCCAGGTCCTTTGCAGTACAGTCTTTTTCTATTAAACCAAAGGTTCTGTAGAGAAAATTTTGGTGAATGTCTGACACTGTGACCTCTGCTGTCAATCCCTGCACCAATCAGCGAGCAGAATTCTTACAAAGCTCCATCAATCTGGCGGTTTAACATCACAGACTGCAGCTTAATCTAGAGGATTCCATCTTTCCTGCACACTCTCCAGGTTAAGCGCAAACGTCTCTCCATTCTCCCGTTTTTTGCCTTTTGGCACAGCTACCAAATGGTTCCTTTAAATTCTAGAAGGGAAGGAGGAAAGGAAGTGCTACAGCCTGTCTCCCTTTGGACAGGGGTAAAAAATAGCATGCATTTTTATCAATGTGGAAGGAAGGCGATGGAGGGAGACCCCTCACAGGCAGCAAACCTATTCACAAAATGCTTTCCATCTGCACTCCTGAAGCCTCAATGCATACCCAACATGACACATGGAAACAGACATCAAATAATCACAACCGCCTTCACAAACGCATGCCTGCAGCCGAGGTCGCAGGCGGTGTCTGCTCCATTATATAACGGGCCGGATTTCCGCGGCCCCCACAGCGCTCCCGGCGCTTCCCCGTGCCAGCCCCATTACCTGTAGGAACGCTCCCCGCGCACTGTGTGCTTCCGGAAAGGAATGATGGTCCCGTTATTATCTTGGATAATGTCGTTGTTGTTCTCGCCATTTGGGGACAGGGTTTGGGTCGGTCCAGGCATTGGAGCTCTCCCGAAAAAGGGAACAAACCGCTGCGGGCTGGCTGGTGAGGAAGGTGGCTGCGTCTTCCCGCTCGCTCGCCTGCTCAGCGCACAGACAGTGCCCGCCGCCTGCTCGCTTCTCCCTGCTAGCGCTCGGCCCCGCCCTCCTGCGGCCCCGCCCTCCGGCTGCTTACGTCAGAGCGCCGGCAGCAGCACCCGGGTCACGTGACCGGCATGTCACCATAGCAACCCGCTAACTCATCACCTCGCCTCAATTCGCACAGGGCCGCAGCGTGACCACGCCGGCAGCTCCAGGCAGGCACCCGGGCAGGCCTACATCTGGCATGTAAAACCCCAGGCCACCGCGCGGCCCCCCTCGCAGACTCGCCTCGTCTGAAAACCAGCTCTTCCTCTAACCATTTCCTTTCCGACCCGAGCTCTAACTGCAGCTGTGTACACAAAAGAACGATTCATGCAAAGGGGTGTGGGAGACCCTTTAACTCCTTCAATACCAAGTTCTTATGCTGTGAAAATTAAACTTGGTCAGGTTGCAAAAATATATAAAAAGACCCGGTAGCCAGCTTCTAGAAAAGGTGTTAGACTAAGGGGTTAATATTTCTTCCTTCCTCCCCCAATTATTCAAATAGCAGCAACCTCCTCCCCAGAATAAGCCCCCCAAAACCTGAAAACCTAAAAGGAAGATTTATTTCCTTCTAATCAATGTGGCCTTTAATAATGTGAGAATTAAATACTGCAAATTATATTTTCTATGGCAAAGAATCTCCAAAGGATTAAAAACAAAAAGGTAACCACCATTTTAGAACATCATAGTACCTAAGACCTGCCAATTCAAATTCTTTATAATCCTTCCTGTTACGGATCACTGATTCCTTGCCATTTATTCTATTTCTGTTTGAATTAAAAGAGTGGTCATCTCATTTAGTATTTGGAAGCTCTCAACTTTCAAGCTGTTCCTATCCTTGCAATGCCATTTTCAAATACATCGGCTGTGAGACAGGTACTATCATTATCCCCATTTTGTTGTTGTTGTTGTTGTTGTTGTTGTTTTGAGACGGAGTCTCACTTTGTCCCCCTTGGTAGAGTGCCATAGTGTCATAGCTCACAGCAACATCAACTCTTCAGCTCAAGTGATTCTCTTGCCTCAGTCTCCCGAGTAGCTGGGACTACAGGCACCAGCCACAAGGCCCAGTTATTTTTAGAGACCAGGTCTCCAACCTGTGAGTTAAGGCAATCCCCCTGCCCCGCTGGCCTCCCAGAGTACTAGGATTACAGGTATAAGCCACTGCTCCCAGGTCATTACCCTCATTTTAAGGACAAGTAAAACTAGTAAGATGAAGTAAATTGCTTATGGTCACGTAGCGAGGACATGATAAACTGGAACTTAAAAGTAACACACTTTTATCTGTATGCAGGGACAGTAGTGATGTGTATATGATATTAGGTCAATAAATATTGTAGATCAAGGTTAACATCAAACACATCAGGTATGCTCCTAATGTGACTGCTGTGAAAAGATAGCTGTGAATATAATTTCTAGCCTAGTGCAAAATCTATGAATTAGATTGTAAACACTGAAGAGACCCCGCATATGTCCAGAGAAGAGTTTGAAGGATTCTGTTCATTAGCAGTGACATCTGACCTTTTTGTTAGGTGAGAAGGGAAGAACTAGGGGGTAGAAAGCACGACATAAATATAAGTGGCAGAAAATACGAGGGTATGGATCACTTCTTCACATCATTGTATGGCTTATTAGCTTCATCATTTTGCCATGCAGATATTAAAAAACAAGTAAATACTTTGTCATTCCTGACAATTCTCCAGCATATTTCCCTGATAATAAGTTATTTCTGGTATCAAGCTTCTGGAATTAGAATCCAATGTTTTACAACCGATGGTAATGATAATATCAAACTGGGGAGCTTTTTTCCCATTCCTGTTTCATACTTTCCTTTTGGGCTAATATTTTGATAATTTTATTTTCTGCTTCTCCAACTCGTGCACAAGTTGATTCCTTCATTCATATCTCAGTTTACACGAGAATTTTTTTCTCATACAAGCAGGATCCAATTCTGACCTAAGAAATTACAAGGAATACAGATAATTACCTATGGAAAAGATTCCAAGCCTCATGTTGCTCGATGAGCTAAGGGGTGCATGAGAGTATAGTCATTCCTAAAAAGATCCAGGCTTCCTCTTATTATTTTGGTTACTTGACCCTGTATTGTCAATTTCCTTGCTAATTTGTTCCCTTTACAAAGCTTCCCCTTTCTTTGGGACAGTCTGCAGTTGAAAGGCATGGTCTGCAAATCAAATATTTAATGTTTTCAGAGTATGCCTTCTCAATTTGGATTCTTTAGCACAGCCTACTTTTCTGTGACCCCGTATTTAAGCAATGTGTTAGACATAATTGGTGTTACACGATTAAATTTGTCAGAATTTGAATGTATAGTTCATTGATTATACCAACTGATTCTGTGCATAGAATACTCCCACTTTGTTTCTAGGCTGCTTGTGAAGGAGGGGGTGACTGCCAAGAATTTGGGTTGATGGGCTACAAGGGGAGGGGTTGTGAGTCAGGTGAGGGAGGTCTCTAAGAGCCATGAAAATCTTCCTCTACGACTGCTCTGAGCCCCACTACTACAAAGGGACCCAGAGAGCTCCAGAGACCAGTGATTACCCTCTGAGATGCTGGGGTAACAGGGGTAATAATTTGAAAATATTAAACAGATGTGTTTTTATTTCTCTCTCCATAAATCAGGTTACCTGGCAGCCATCCTCTAGTTTAGCCCTAGGGAAAGGGGAGGGTAAATTCCACTTTGAGAAGGAGGTTAATATAAGGAAAGTGCAGAAAACGCAGGGAGAGGGAGGGAAGAGCCCACCCTTTCCAGCCCCAAATGAGTGCAGGAAGAAGAGGATAAGGGAAGGACCAAGCACTGAGTTGCCCATGCCTTGGTCTTCAGGCTCAAGTCCCAGAAGGGAGATGAGAACAAAACCTAAGAGACTTTCTTTTGCCTTTTTTCCCATTTGACACTTTAGGAAACAGGTCTGCCTTGGGTTTCCCCAAACAAAGTGAAGCCACATTGCAGTAAAGACTAAAATCAGTGGTCTGGTATGTAGAGGGAAAGGATAGGCTTAAATTTCACTTTCGGCATCTCCTTTTGCTGGCACGCAATGTGGACGGTATCTAGAAGTTTCTGTCTGCCCTATAAGGGCATAGCAGGAGGCTGAGCAGATCTTGCTATCAGAGAACTGAGTTTATGGTGATGGTAGGGGTGTCATGAAGAAATGTTTCCACAACAGAGGCAAAGGGATATTTATCTGGGTCCACAGGGTGGAACATTTAAGGAGGAACCCAAATAAGAGAAATAGCTAGCTCTGAGGAAGCTGCACAGAGCCAGAGTCTGAGCCCAAACCAAGCCCATAGAGAGAGATGGCAGCTGAAGGGTTCAGCAGAGGCTCCAGCACAATGCCCCTGAATGAGGTCAGACCAACTACTCAGCAGACTCGATACTGCAAACCCAGGGACCAGCATGAGACCAGGAGGCCCCTGCTCTCCCCATCTCTTATTTTTATAGCCTCACCCCCCTACTCCTCCGGATACAATCTTGCAGAAGGGCTAATTTCAAAGACTGAATATTCACCCAAGAAATGGAGACATCCCAAGATGGTCTAAACTGGAAGAGACTATAATATTGTGATGTGGCAAATTTAAAACTGTTTCTCATTCCTTACAACCCAGCATGGTGGAGAAAATCACCCAGATCATCATAGGAAAAAATAACTAAGACCAAAATGTCTTTGCATGTATGACTGTGGATTAAGGGTTTTGTCTTATGTAAACAGGTATACCTAAAACTAAGTGTGTGCTGACTGGGCCCCACCATCCCCAGCTCCCATGGACCAACTACTCAGGAGTAGTTGGCTCTTCTCACCAAAGGTCAGGATTAAAGGGACCCTGGAGTCAGGCAAACTTGGGTCTTGGGCTTGACTTTACCACCTGCTGGCTCTGTGACCTTGGAAAATCACTCTGTATCTCTAAGATTTACTTTCCTCATCTATAAAGTAGGTGTAATAATACTACTTTCACAGTGTTACTGTGAAGATAAAATTACATAATATATTTAAAGCACTTAACATAATATCTGGCTGTATAGCAAATGCTCATTAGTGGTAAATATTATTTTTAAATAATATGTTAGGCATACTCTAAAACATTCATTTATTCACTAGAAGCTGGTAGAACAAGAGGAAAAATATACCTAAAGTCTTGAGAAATTTTTTTTGTTCATTTTCTATACACCAGACAAAACGTGAGGTCCCTTGGGGCAGGGACTTCAATAGTTTCGTTTTCTGCTATATCTGCAGTTCGTAAAACAGTGCCTGACATACAGTGAATCTATAATTCATTAATTTATTCACATGTCCGGTTTGATTCTCGTGTCGATCCTAATGAAAAAACTGAGGCTTAAAGAGGAAAACAAGTCATCCAAGATTGGCTATCAGGTTTTCTTCACCTTATAGATGACTGGTTTATTCATTAGGCTATATTGTCACTTAAAAGAGCAATAGCAGTGTAGGGAGAAAATAAAGGCATTATCAAGAAGATATTCATTGCTAGAGAAGTAGGAAATGGTTATAACATCTCTGGGGAACAGCAGGTTGTTTCATGTGGACAGAGAACAGAGTCAGGAGATGGAGCAAGGATCAACAAGCAGAAAGGTCTTATAGTCAAGCTTGACCTTAATCCTGAGGGTGATCTGGAACCAGGAAGAAAATTTAATGGTGGTATTTGCATATCAAGGTCTAATACTGACAATAGTATGGAGGATGTATTGAAGACCAAAATGAGTAAAAAATTCGTGAAGACCTGAACTAAAACAGAAACCAAGGGGTTGTAGAATCTGAGACAGTCAGAAGGTATAACTCTTAGAATTTGGTCACTGAGTGTGGACAGAAGCACTGGTGGGAGCTAAGGCGGATGATGAGGAAAAGATATCTCAAATGAATCCCAGTTTTATGGCATGGGCGACCAAGTGGATAATGGTAGCATTTGTCAAGCTAAGGAATCCAGATTAAATTGTTCGTTTAAAAGAAAGTTTCTCAGCACTCTGGGAGGCTGAGGCAGGTAGATTGTCTGGGCTCACAGGTCTGAGA